TACAAAAGCACACGCCACGTGCCCCCCTCCCGGGCCATCCTTTCAACCTCCCCCCTCCCCCTCCCCCCGGTCGTTAACTCGATTACGTCGTCCCGTCGTCGTGAGAGCACTTCGCCGGAGGTTCAAGGCGCGCGGTCCCCGTTCGTTTGTTCGACGAAAACGAGAGGCGACCGGCTGACTGGTTGAAGATTGAACTTGCGGTAAAAATGATTAGCTGCAGGGGCACGGAAAATTAGTGACATTACCGCGCGCATTAGTGATCAATCGACTGTGAAAATTCTGAGACCTATTGTGAATTCATCGTCCCTCATGTCGACTCTCATTGTTTCGCCGTTCTGCTCTTTTCCCGATAAAACTACGAGTGTATAGTGATTTTAGATTTCTACTTTTTTCTACGTGTCATATAATGTAGAAAATTTATTGAAATGTTTGCCGGAATGGAAATTCATTTTAGGTGTTTTATTTCAATTCATTTTATTGAAATGAAACACCTGAAATGGATTCTGCCCGATAAACGTTTCAATAAATTTTATTACTCAATACTAATTCTGGTAGTATTTTATGACTTCTATTTCACAAATGGCAATATTAGCCAAATTCTTGATATTATTAACTATACGATGGTCTATTCTGACACAAAAGAGATTACTTACTGTCATTTCGGCACAGGAGTGATCGATAAAAGTCAATTCCGATTCCTCACCAGCCAAGAGCACGCTGACTGTTTTTTCGCCGGACTCATCGTCTGCAAGATGAATAAGAATATAGCTAGATTTTTAAATATAAAGTTAAATTTTGATATTGCGAGAGAATTGAGACGCGTATATATGTAAATTATTAATTAAAAAGAGAATAAAAAAAATTTAGCATCGAACTGGAGAAATGAATGTCTCTGAATGAAATGTCATTTCCAAAGTGTTCTTCATTTCAAATTCAACTCCAAGTAAGGAATATGCGGGTACTTGTAAAGTGCAAATCAAGCTGGATTCAAGTTTCCTCATCGGTTTCGAAATGAGTTTGATAATTCGATAAGGTGGGGGATCCGTGGAACTGATCCAGCACTTACTTGCAACAGATTCAGATTCAGTTACTCCAATCATAAATAAACATGTATTTTAAACGGATAACGATTTATCTCGTACGGTTGAGTCCTCGACATCGAATAACTCGAGGTAATAGAGTGTCAGCAGTCAAATCGGATTTGTTCCGGCATGTTCGCGCACCCAGTGGATCGAACCGAAAACAGCGGGTACCCGAAAACATCACGCTATCCCTATTCCGGGGCATTTCCGCGCCGCTTGGAGTTGCAGGCACATCCGGATTTTTCCGTGACCGCTCGGGCAAAACAATTACGTCGCGCTACAAACCGAATGGAAAGTCCTGTTTGCTTTTCGATTCGTTTCCCACTTCTGTTCGGCTTTCTGGAATCTTGTAAAAGGGGCGAGGGGAGGGGGGAGGGGGGAGGGAAGGAGGATCGCGTGCCGCGTCCGATCGATTAGTGACGTAACGGGGAACGGGGACGGATGGCCGTGGGATTTTTGCGGTTGCGGCCGCGATGGCCGTAACTATGGTCGACTTACCGATCGAAGTGTCGTAGGCGTGCAGATACTCGGAAGTCATGAATTGAGAGACCAGGGAGCTCTTGCCGACGGCGGGGGCGCCCAGCATGAGGACGCGGTATGGCGCCGGACCTTGGGACGCGCTGCTCTCCCTCGAACTCGCCAACGAGCCCGCCGCGGAATTCCGCGCCGATCCCGGGTACGAGGCGGTCAGGTGTTCCGTGCTGCGTCGAATAGAAGAAAGGCTAGGCGCGTATTGAGATTAGCATGGCTATATCGTCGGTTTATATATCGTCAAAATTGTATTGTTCATCACAAGGGGGTTCGATAGAGAATAGGGGAGGGAAACTGCACTTGGATCTTTCATGCGACGATTTTGGAGTGGAGATTGCGCGAATTATTTGCACCAATTACGGAGATGCGAGACAATGGATAAATGTCAGGGATATTTGTTCTCTCGGAATATTACAAGATTCGTGATACTATATAATTGAAACAAGCGAAAAAATAATGTTTTATTAGAAAATTAAAGACTTTCGGTCTTTTTAATTTATTTCTTTTTTTGCAAAAAAATTTATGAATACGCATGTTCATTTCGCACATTGAGTAATCGTTTCATACAATTGTTCAAGAGTTTTATAATAATAAAAAATAATAAATCATAACGTCATTTCGATTAAATAATTCTTCTTCATCCATTTTATAGTATCTCAGGGACCAAGAAAATGATTATTCTAAAACAAAGCTTCGAAAAGCTGTTTAACTTAAGTGCATTCTTAAAAAGAAGTTAGAAAATATGTGTACGTGTCTATATATAGTTTGTTTTATAACCTTTTAAAAACAAAGTCTTAGGCACACGCGATGAAAAATCATGAATGCTTGTGAAAGCTACTTAGTTTTATACGACACAAGTAATCCGGATAAGATGAAAAGAAAAATAGCTTTCGTAAGGAGGATAGAATATTCTTTGAAAAAATTCTTCGTGTAGCTGTTGCATCAAAATATATATATCAAAATATGTATATCTTTAAAAATCCCTAACAAATACAATTACTTTCTTTAATTAAAAAAACCTGTATTCATATGAGAATAATAATAATAATAATATAATTTCTCTTCTGAAAATGTTATGTTCATTTCAGATTCCATGTTTGTGTTAACCGTCAGTAATAAAATCTCTTATCCCAGGCATATATGTCACATAATATGTTGCATAATACATAAATCTTTTTCGTGACGTCTTAAATAAGTAATAAATGCCGTGTATCGCTACAGAACGTGTTTCGTAAGATTCGTCTCAAACTTTGAAGACATGTTCTCTGAGGATATAACATGATTTTATCTCGAAATTTCATTGGTTGACGCGTGCTGTGCTTCTTCGTAAGGCAATTTCCGAATTTTCAACGTCAAATATTCTGAACAAATAAGACTTAAATTAAAATCCGAAACTTTACCCAAATTTAGCTTAGAGAAATAGATCTCCGTAGACTTTATTTTCCAAAGTATTTTAGTCTTTATCGAATTATTTAGTCTTTTATCGAGTACACTCGACATTATGTTTCATTTTAAATTTTCATACAGAAAAGGTCAACTTCAATTTTGCAGAGCATGCTCCTGCATTTCGATATAAACTTTAGAAAATATTCTGCGTACAGTACGTTGAAAATATGTTTCACATATTATTCACTTCTCTCACTTTATATATCGATATCAAACTCTGTAGTCACATTTAGAAAGAGAAAAAGCATCGTAACAGGTTTATTCAATCGCGCGTGAATATTCAACGTTTCACACTTCGATTGGTAGAATCTGAATAATACGATTAGTGCTTACAATAAGAAGACTAGTTTGAATCATTGATACTCTACGTTTCGTTAATTCGCTTAGTTTGATATTAAGAATATTGTAAATATTGCTATTTTATCATATACATATACCAATATCCATATAATAATTCTTTTAAGAGAAAGACTTTTTCACTTAGACCGTGCATGCCGATAAAGTTATGTTGAACGATAAAGTTATTTCAATTTTCTCTGTGACAGAGAATAGAAGATTTAGATGAATCTATCAGTATTTCTTTACGTTGTATTGGATAATGATTTTTTCTTAGCTTTTCTCTATAATATAAATTTCTTAAATGACATTCGGATTCCACTCGTCTTAGCTTTTCATAAAAGATATTAAATTTTCTCAGAAATACGAATATAATCTTATAAATAGAGAGAGAGAGAGAGAGAAAGAGAGAGAGAGAGAGAGAGAGAGAGAGAAGCTATAACATAAATAAATTTAAACATAAATTATATAAATAAATGTAAATAAATTTTATCAAAAATGTTATTATTATGCAACTTTGTTTATATCAAGAGATAACATATAGAATCCTGCTCCAAGTATAGAAAAATAGCAATCCCGAAGAAATATTACAATGTATCCTTTATTAAATACACTATGTTATATATGCCCTGAAATACTAGCATTGTACACAAAAATTAAATATAGAATCAAATAACATTTTTTTCATTCCAACAATGCATTTCAACAGCAGAGAACGCTTTTATAAATATTACACGTAACAAAAATTGAATTTATTAATTCCCATTAATCGTACTTTAATTTTACTGATTAAATATACAGCTACGCATTTTCTGCAGCAGGCATAACAGATTTCTAGAAGCGAAACCCTATTTGATATCACATTCTTTTTAGGGTTTCTGCTTTCACAGTATCATAAGCGGTATCATAAGAGTTACGTAAGATCCTAAATAGAACATTTCAAATACAAAGTATGTAAATTGAAGTATAAAGAAAGCAGTAATATTTAAATAAATATACTTAGATATTATTTTGAAATACAAAATACACGTGAATTTTCCCCGTGAAACAAATATGGAAAATATTTTATATCTCCGGACGGCTCTTTATGCTAACTGCAGTTGAAATACTCCGTCCAGCCCCGGTATATTATATATTTACATGATGCTCGAAGACCACGCTCTAAGGTCCAACGCGCGTGTCTACGTAACTTCAACGCCACACGTAAACTCACGCGTTCGATCTAGAGCGACAGTCCAATTCGAGGAGAAGAGAAAGATAGCCGAGCCGGAGATAGAGGCCGGAAATATTCTACGGCGCGCTCCTTCCGAGCGGAGAGCGGACGAAGTGGTACAATCGCAAATATCACCGTATTTCGATCGTAGAGTAATAAGCGCAACTGTCGATTGTGTCGATATTTTCTACCGATATCGACGCCGCGTTAACAAAAATATATCCTTTTCAATTTTTCAATAAAAATGCTCGCTGCGTAAATATAGAGAGGAAACATAATTGGTAGAGAACCTATCTAGAGAACATATCTGGTTATTTCTATCTAGAAAGCAAGACGGTAAAGACTCGAGGAGAATTTATTTGTTTGATAATTGATAAAATGTGAATTTAAAATAACTGGTGACTGGTTAGGCATTTAAAAATATATATTGCTGTTTCTGTTCGTTTTATTTAAGAGGAGCCGGAGGATTTCACGGATATAACTTTTATCGGAACGCGCGTATCGGAGATTTTCTAACGTTCAAACTTCTCAGAATCGGAACACTTATAGTACTTACCGGTTCGTGTAACGAGAAAGCGCAGTCAAATTATATCATATGCCCCATTAACTTATGCCTCAACTCACCTAGAGTTGCTGGACGCCACGCTATTGTTGGAGCGCGATCTGCGGCTCTTGAGGGAGTCACCCCGGTTTACCACCCCCTTGCCCGTGATGCTAAAATGCCGTAATCTGTAGTATTCCTCCTCCACGCCGGTGTTGGGCATACTTGCCACTCGCGATCTCTGTTGCGGAAGACACAGGTAATTCGGTCGACCGGAAGAACGACTCCCGGGAGCCTTCACCGACTGTGATCGGCTGTGATGGGGACTTCCATATCTGTGGGTTATCCGCTCGTTACTACCTAATATTATATTGATAGAAGAGAAAATCTTTCCAAAAGAAAAGCTCGATAGCTTGGGAAAAATCAATTATTAATAAAATTGTCTAAAAAAAATGCCTTAAAATTTGTCAATATAATATTATATAACAATATATAGTACTTTCATATTATTAAGATATGTAAATAGTATTTTTTTTTTATTATAATAATATATTTCCAAATAATTTTTAAAAATTTTCGAAATATGCCCTTAATTAGTTTCACGAATCAGTATAATGATATCGATGATTGTGGATATAAATAACTCTTTTATTATAATTTATTTATTAATATTCATGTTTAGATCTCCGTTACAAACTGAAAGCAATATCATTATGAGACATATTTAGAATTGGACACGTGTCTTTCTATTCGCAATACTCGATGCTTTTTCGAACTATAAATTTTTCGAGATACTCTGTACAAGTTCGTAAATATTGAATATCCTTGACTAAAACTTCCGACAAAATTTCCGGACAAACTTCTTTTTATCGCGATCAAGAGTACATTGAATTACTTGAAATACGTGACAGGAATATCTCATGAGAATAATCTCTCTGTTTATTAAAGCTGCATTAGGCGCGTGGAATCTAATATTTTTTTAATATCTTAAAATCTTAATCTCTTAATTTAACATATCTTTCTAGCCGACTTCAGTTATCAACAAGATGTTTTATTAAAAGTATTGCCAGGTAGCATTTACACATATAAAATATTAAAATAAATAAAATAATAATATCATATCTTCAAAACTCGTCAATAATAACTAGCTTTCGATTAACAAATCTTTATCTTTATATGAAAAATGTCCTTGTATTGGGGAAAGGAAAGAAAGAGAGAGAAGAGAGAGAGAGAGAGAGAGAAGAGAGAGAGAAGAGAGAAGAAGAGAAGAACAAAATAGTATAGAAAGAGAGTATTACTATTATTATATAGTTGTTACGTTACGTTAACCTTAACTTAACTTAACTTAACTTACTTATACTTACGTTACGTACGTACTACTACTACTACGTATACTACGTACTACGTACTCTCTCTACGTACGTACGTACGTACGTACGTACGTACGTACGTACGTACGTTACCGTACCTATCCCTATCCCCTCGTGTGCCTTGGCAGTTCAGAGAGAGAGAGAGAGAGAAAGAGAGAAAGACGAGAACCCTGTCTCCCACGTCCTCGTTCCCGCCTTTTCCTTCCGTTCCGCTCTCGCGGAACGCGTTTCTGGAGTCCTTAGGCTATCCTTTTCTTCGTTTTCCCTCCTCGGCAAAATTTACCGAGGGGGTGCGCTCACGCGAGATGCGTGCCTAATGACGCATCCGCGGTTGTCCCGGTGGAATCGCCGTCACCCGTAAATCACTCCGATGATAACACTTCGTGACGATCCTTTTGATACGAGGGCAGAATCTCGATAGTGCTGACATCGATTATGGAAAGAGTTCAAGTGTATTTACCCGACGAGTGTACAGGCTGGGTTAAGGGGCCGCTACCCTCCCCCCGAAAAATTTTCCACGGCTCGAATAAGGAGTAAAAGAGGATAGTATAGACTCGATAAAACCAAGGAATTTTACCACGCTATCTTTTGCTTGCCATTTATTTTCTTATCCTTATCTTATTCGCATATATTTGACATATATAGAGTACGCCAAATCGATTGTTACTTCCATTTATAGAATCTCTATGGAATATTTAGAATCAATATCATCTCAAAAAGACAAATGCCGAGAATACTTTCTCAACTGTTAGCTGTTTCTCGATTGAAAATGAAGGAGGGAAATGAAAAGTGAAAGCGAAATTCGTTTTGCAATTAATTTTGATGCTTATTTTAACAACGAATATTAATTTAAGGATTGATACGCCGCTTGACAAGAAAATTCGATATCGAAACTTGATAATCTAGAAATTTACGGATACAGAAAGAAATATTATATTTCCGTGGCATATAAATCCCATTGTAGCAGTAAAACTTTGTTTGAATTTTCAGTTAAAGTTCAGTGTTGATTGCAGCTTTGTACGCCAAGCTTCAATATAATAGTATCCAATTTTTATTGCGAAAACTTGTGTGCCTTCGGAATCAATCGCACAATTCTCCCTCAGACGTGAAAACGTGAAAACGTAAAAAGCGGCGAAAACGCGTGAAAGGTAAATTTTTCATATCAAATTATTAGTGACCGCTTTTTGGAATAAAATGTTATGCATTGTTAGCATTTTTATTGAAATACGGGTGACTTTTAAAATCTTAAAAAATGAAACGTCGAAGAAGTCCAATTGGCAATCATATCGATCCTATGAATCCA